CCTTCAGGTCTGGAATTGAACCCACACCTGTGGTTTCCAGCCAAACAAAAGACAGGCATATGAGTTGAACATTTACCTGAGGTAGACACACCTTAGATAGAACAATCATGGGAGAAAGAAGGGCTGCTTATGCACAGGGAGACAGTTCAGGGGGCAGGAGTGCATGGAGGGATGGACACTGAGAAGACGTAACTATGGGGAGGAAGTGGGAGACGAGTTATTGCATTGTGATAAACTGTGGTCAATGTCATGAGACAAAGTATATGTGAACTGCTGTATGGAAAGTGAATTTGCTCTGTAAACCTTCACCCAAATCACAATTAAAAAAAAAAAAAAGAGAGAGATGTCCAATTCCCTAGCAGAAGTGCCTGCCAAGTCACTAGTTTAGGGCATAACTTGGAGTGGACAGAGCCAGAGGGGAGTGTCCGGAGAATTATGAGGATCTAGATGAGAGAAGCCAAGTCATCAGTGTCATCAGTGAGATCCAGGGACAGGTTTGAGGCTGGATGTGAACAATGGAAGCTTTCCATTGGGTAAATACTAGAATAGAATGGGAGACAAGGAGCAAAGCCCTGAGTATGAGTGGGCCAGGGACTTCTGTGTGAATAGCTTGGGAAAGTATAAAACTCTTCCCACAGGAAATGAGCTATATACTATGTGAAGGATGAAGAGATGGCTGAGACTGGAGAAAAAAACTTGGTGTTCACAGCCTTAGCGGCAATGGTTTTGTTTTAGTCTTAGAACTATGGGCCTATTCTAACTCATACCAACCGGCGTCCTGTGACTTAAGAACCAAACCACAGAATTCCGACTCCAGAGAGCAAAATTCTAGACCAGGCTCCACTTCTTTTGACGTGCAGCCTTGGCCTTGTAGTTGAGGCTCAGAGCAGTGAGTGATAACCTGCAATATGCAAATAGAGACCTAGAGCTGTTGCATTTGGCCGGAGCTAGCCCCACATCTTCCCCAGTTGCAGAGCCTGAGGTCCCATGTAAGAAGAGCAGAATAGAGTTGCCTTAAATGTACGCATCTTTCCATGTCAAACTGTAACTGCTGCCAGTCTGCCAACCTTCAATAATTGAACAAAGCCACAATTGGAAAGGGGGATCAAGTGGGAAGGAGAGGCAGGTCTTTATTGAAGAGAACAGATGAAGTATTCTCATGGTCAGCTAGCAATTATTCGATTATAATTACATGGTAGTTTCCAGCATTTAATAGTCAATATCTGTCATTTTCTTGTTTTCAGTCATTCTTGGATTATAGCCAGTCTCAGCCATCTCTTCATCCTTCACATAGTATATAGCTAATTTTGCTTTTAATTTACAACAGCAGCTTTAGATACACAAAAACCTAACAGGAATTGCATTGGGGGAGTTACAGTGGACAGGCTAGGGCACAGAAGTAAAAAAGACTTGCTTTTTTACAGTATATACCATTTTGTTGTATAATTAGAATTTTGTGTCACTCGTATGTATTCCCTATGAAGAAAGAAATTTCTGCCAATAAATTGATTAAATTTTAAACTACACTGAATTTCTTAAGTGAAAAAAATACTTATTCTCTTTGTCCCAAATTCTATGAGGAATTTTTTTAAAAATTTCTTCTAAGAGAGATTATCTTTTTCTTTCTGTAGAATGAGCTGAAGTTACTTAGAAAGCAAGGGACCACATTGCTGTCATGTATCCAAGAACCAGCCACCAAAAATCCCACCAGCAAACTCAATCACAATGAATTTGAGAATGTCACTACTATGGGAAGGTGAGTGAGATGGGTGGAATTTGCTTTTCTAGGAGATAATCTGTGGAACTAGAATATCTGAAACAGCCAAGAACAGATTGCAACAGTGACTATTAAGTCTTAGTGGGGCCAAGAATGAATAATATTTGCAACAGAGCATCCATCTGGCATCCGTTTACAGATCTCATTTTATGAGAATTATATTCACTCCTCTTACAAAATGCTCTGGTCCTAAGATGTCAAGGCAAGTGGTAGTATGTATTGTTTCATTTATAAACAACAGTTTTTCTGTGTGCTGTGCATTGCGTGGGAGCTCTGGTAGTGTAGTGCCTAAGGCATTTGACTGCTAACCAGAAGGCTGACAGTTCAAACCTACCAGCCACTCCTCAGAAGGAAGACTGGGCAATCTACTTCCATAGAGATATCGCCTTGGAAACCCAAGGAGGGGTCACTATGAGGCGGGATCAACTTGACAGCAGTGAGTTTGGTTTTTTTGGTTTTATGCTTTGCACACCTGTGGTCTTAGGTGGTGGGGAGGGAACAGACACAAAAGTAAAGTTACTTGGGACACATTTTAAAGCCCAGCAGTAGCATCTGAAGTAAATGCCTGCCTAGCACTGGAGGTATTCTCATTAAAAATGGAAAGTGGGGAAACCACCTGACCCTAAGAAAGTCAAAGGTGATACAGCCTTTCACGAGAAGGAAATATGCCATGGTTTATAATGCTGACTGAAAACATAGGTGTTATCTTATCGAAAGGCCATGGAATTCTGGGAAATGAATGCTATCACATTTTCACATATTCTCATTCTTTCTCAACAGATTATTAGTTCAGTTGGATGAAACAGAAAAGGCCTTTAGTCAGTTTTGCTCTGAGCATCACCTGAAGCTTAACCAATGCCTACAGCTACAGCACTTTGAGGACAGTTTTTGTGAGGTATTATTTCCTTGTCCAACAGAACTTTTCTTTTTTGGTACAGTGACCTCTCTGGTTCTTCTTTCTCCCTTGAACCCTTTGGAATTGGAATTCCTTCTTCTCTGTAACCCAGCTCCCTCTTTATATCCTTGCTTCTTCATAGACTCCCTTCTCACATTTTCAGTGAGGTAACAATGTTCTAGAATCCCATTTACATGCACTTTTTCCATTCTAATTGAGGATGATTCAGGACCAGGCAGTTTTTCATTCTGTTATATGTAGGTCCTTATGAGTCAAAATGACTCAACGGCACCTAACAACAATTGATAATCTGTTGAATGTCGCACTACTGTTCCACCTACATGTGTCTCTGCATCCCCCAGCCTAATTTGAAAGTTACTGAGCTATTTAAAAATACACATATAGATACATACAAGTACTGAATCCTTTATGGTATCTTAAGTGCTCATCCGTTTATCTCTGTACTGTTTTAATGTGTTTTGTAGGTTAAACTTGTCCTGGATAATTTGTTGGAAGAGCAAGCAGAGTTCACAGACATTGGAGACAGTGTGAAGCGTGTGGAACAACTTCTTAAGCAACGCAAGGACCTGGAGGAAAAAGGCCAGGTGGGTTTTTTGACGTTTTTGAGTACTGGGAAGGAAGTTGTGGACAGTAACAGAGCATGTCCACTTGTTACTGTTGGAAGGTTGCTAAAGGGCACAGAAATGCCCAAACCTTCCCTTTCAGCCACATCCTACTCCCAGCCCAGGTCCCCAAAGAGCTATGCTGATAAAGCCCCATAATGAATAATAACAGCAGTGCAGAGTTAAAGCTGTTGGAGTACAACACACAGTTAAACCTGGAGGTGCCAGTGGGGTGAGAACTCCAGGCAGCAGCAGAAGTAGAGGAGCAGCAGAGGAGAAAGTTCCAAGGGGGTGTTTTGCCCACCAGATCAATTATGTATCCCAGAGTCCCACCAAGCACCTTAGAACTCCTCTCTGGGCCCCATATATGTGGATGAGAGTGGTGGTAAGGTTGGGACTCCAGGAAAAAAAAAAGGGACTAGTTTTATGACTGGAGCATGACAGTTAGAAAGGGGAAACTGACCCACATTAGTTCTGTTGGTACACCCAATTGACAATGTTTTATATTTTCCCATGCCCTAAGAGTTGTAAATATCAAACTTACAAAGGAATATATATTTCACAGTTTCATACCAGAATTAAATAGTTCCCCAGCTCTGCATACAAGTCAGGACTTAGGAGTGATTCTATTTTAAGTCCTTTCAAATTTGGTTTATTACAAATTAAGACAGCTGAGTCATCTTCTTCCAAAGCTGTTTCCCTGTGCTTCTCTTAATTAGGTCCTCTGTATTTTTACCTTTGAAGACCAAGTCCTCTGTGATTAGCACTTCAGAAAGAGCCAACCTAGAGTCATGTTTCTCAGGTGATAGTTTTACAGTGCAGAGACTCATTGGGAGCTCTGGTGGCACAGTGGTTAAAGCATTAAGCTGCTAACCAAAAGGTTGGTGGTCCAAACCCACCAGATGCTCCGTGGCAGAAAGATGAAGCAGTCTGCTTCCTTACAGATTTACAGAATTGGAAACCCTATGGGGCAGTTCTGCTCTGTCCTATGGAGTTACTGGAGTCATAATCAACTTGATGACAGTGGGTTTGGGTTTCGGAGACATTTATTTCTCAACTGTGCCCTTCTGACCAGTAACATTGGTGTCACTTCCTAGAAATGCAGCACTTCAGAATCATAGTCTGCATGGGCCCCATTTCAGAATCATAATCTGCATGTTAATTAGAAGCCTAGGTGGCACAAGCGGTTTGCAATCGGCCTCTAACCTAAAGGCTGGAAATTTGAACCCATTCAGCCACTCTGCTGAAAAAAGGCCTGTGAACTGCTTCTGTGAAGACTACAGGCAAGAAAACCCTATGGAGCAGTTCTACTGTGTAACACGTGGGGTTGCCATGAGTGGGACTGAACACAACAGCAGCTAAGAACAACAACAACCAGATGATTGGCATTGCAGTGAACTGTACACCTTCCTAGAGGATGCGTCACAAATGTCAATCAAGGATGCACTAACTCTAAGAGCTGTCCATTGTGGGTTCTGAGCTTGAGAATCCACACAAACACAGGAACCCACCTGTGTACCCAGACGCTCACTCAGGAGGCCCAGTGAGCACTTTTTCTGATATCGCTGAAAGGCACATGAGTCATCAGAAATATTTATTAAACGACGGAAACATTGATTTCATATCTGTGGTGACCATATGTCTCAGATTCTCCAGGACAACCCCAATTTTTTATAATTTTAGCTTTTTTCAATTGTTATTGTTGTTATGTGCTGTTGAGTCAGACCTGACTCATAGTGACCCCTCCTTGGGTTTCTGAGGCAGTATCACTATGGAAGTAGATTCCCCAACCTTCCTTCTGAGGAGTGGCTGGTGGATTTGAACTTCCAGCCTTCTGGTTAGCAGTCAAGTGCCTTAGGCACTACGCTACCAGAGCTCTTTAAATTTAGATACTATTTACCTTTATGTGTTTTCATCTACATAAATTCATATATTAGGGAAAAAAAGTGCCTCATGAAGCCCTATGCCTTTATTTATTTTTGGTTTGAAAAACATGGTCATAGCACATATATGTGAGAAGTGGTGTTCCTTCATCAACAAGTGTTCCTTGTTCTAGATTCTGTGGTTATGTTAGTGAACTAGACACTTAAGACCCTGCTGTCATGAAACTTGCGTTCTACACGGAAGAGATAGATAATTGAAAAGTAAATAAATAATAATAAAAGATAGTAACAAGAAGTATGAAGAAAATAAAGGAATGTAGTAAGTGACAGGAAGTGCTACTTTAAGTAGGGTAATCAGGGAAGGCCTCTCTGAGGTGGTGACTTTTGATCTGAGATCTGGGTAGCCATGCATAGATTTGGAGAATAGCATGCATGGCAGAGGGAGCTACAAGTGCAAATATGTCTTGAGGTGGAAATGAGGTTAGTGAGCTCAAAGAATGTGGCTGGAGCATGTGAGCCAGGAAGAGATGAGGAGGGAGAGAGGGCAGGGACCAGGTCATGTGGGGCACTGGAGTCTTTGGTGAGTTATTGGATTTTATTCTCAGTTGCACAGGAAGCCATTTGAGGGTGCTGGTTGTGTTTTGAATAGTGGTGTTTAGTCTGCATGACTGAATCCACATTCTCTCCCCTACCCCCCTCCTTAGACTTGCAATCCTTGCAAAATACTTTAAAGATTGCTGACTGGAGATAGGGTGAACCTATAGTCATGGGGCAGAACACAGGAAAGCTCTATGAACCAGGGCTTTGAACCAATTCATTCTACTTTGACTCCCCGCTGAGAATTTGCATTTCTAACCCAGATATACTGAATCAGAATCTATATTCTAACAGGGTCTCTAAGAATCATCTGGAGATCTTGTTAAAATGTAGATTCTGATTCAGTATATCTGGGGTGAAAATGTAAATTCTCAGCAGGGGGTTCAAAACAGAATGAACCGATTTGCAGCCCTGTTGTGAAACTGTGACCCATCTTTCATGGGCGAAGTTCTTGAGCCACCTGGACTAATTCACTGCAGAAGACCCAAGGACCCCAGACAGACTGACTTAACCCATTGTATGTCTTATTCACTCAGTTTTTTTTCTAAAGGATACAGTTGTTGTTGTTATGTGCCGTCGAGTCGGACCTGACTCATAGCGACCCCTTCTTGGGTTTCCGAGGCAGTACCACTACAGAAGTAGATTGCCCCATCTTCCTTCTGAGGAGTGGCTGGTGGGTTTGAAGCGCCAGCCTTCTGGTTAGCAGTCAAGTGCTTTAGCCACCATGCTACCGGAGGCCTAGTCTTTTGCCTTGGCTGAACCAAACAAACAAACAAAAAAGCTATCTTATCGTAATGGAGACCTTTTTCAGCATGTCTTCCCTTAGATTAGGAGCTCTGGTGGCATTGTGCCTAAAGCATTTGACTGCTAACCAGAAGGCTGGCAGTTCAAACCCACCAACCACTCCCTGGAAGGAAGATTGGGCGATCTACTTCCTTAGTGATACCATCTTGGAAACCCAAGGCAGGGTCGCTATGAGTCGGATCCATCTCAATAGCAGTTAGTGTGGTATGGTATGGCATCCCTTAGATTCCCGAGAGGCATTGTTTCTTTAGATGATAAGGGCTTGGATAATCTTTTCATTAGGAGCTCTGGTGATGTAATGTCTAAGGCATTTGTCTGCTAACCAGAAGGCTGGTGGTTCAAACCCCGTAGCCACTCCTTAAAAGGAAGATTGGGCAATCTACTTCTGTAGTGATACTGCCCCAGAAACCTAAGGAGAGCTCACTATGAGTTGGACCCGACTTGATGACAGTGAGTTTGGTTTTTTTTAATCTTTTCATTTGTGCCAGAAAGTGTTAAAGGGAAAAGGTAGTATGTGGCCAGAATCCATCAAATATCTGCTTGAGGTTTGTCCTTTATTCAGTGCTCAGAGGTCACCTGCTTTCCTGGCATAACCACAGACTAATTTCTGGGATGTTGCCAGCTTCCTCCTTCTGTGCAGTGATGTCATGCTCATGGTAACCTCTGGGCTAACGCACTGACTGGACTCTGGTGATATGTTCATTCAGCCTATTGTCTATCTCGTTCTGGTTTGAGAGTTTCACAGATTGTTGAATTTTGAGAAACAATGGTTTCAACCACTTGTATCTCTACAAAACCACTTTGTATCTCTACAAAGGCAGAATTTTCTGTAGAGTTTTCACTGAGAGCCATTATGGGTAGTGGGCCAGGAGGAACCACATAAGAACTAGACAGGGGGAATCAACCTGATTTCAACCTTGACTTCTACCCTGAAAGCTGTGGCCCAGCAGCTACTCTACTATGTACAGGAAGGCTTGGAACTCAGGTCATTGTTGTCCTAGGAATGTAACCTAGCTTGGGATGTGACTTTTTTTCTAATGGAAAATTTCAAGCATACACAAAGAACTTCCATGTGGTTATCGCTCAGTGTCAACACCATTGACTTTCTGCCTTTCTGTTTTCATCTGGCCCACCTCCTTATACTTAAATTCCATTTCTATGCTATTATTTGTGTGTTTGTTCTGGGCTTACTGAGATAGCACCACCACCCTCATCCTCACCATTTTCTTCTACAGTCAACAATGTCATCTTTCATATGTCATGGCAGTAGAGTCCTTGGGGAAAAATAAGCTGTTAGTACAATAACAAATTTCTGAATTAGGTGTTGCACCTGACTATCCAGCCTTCTGGAATTTGAAGATGCCAGACAGGCTTGTGTCAGAGCGCCAGATTTCAACATTTCTTCTCATTATCTCTGTTTTACTTTGGAGGTTTTATTGACTAAGTTACCATTACTTCGTTTTTACTTTAGAATGTTACTTTGTGCAGGAGCTATATAGACTAAAAAAATAAACTACAGTTTGGAGCTGAAAAAAGAAGCTACAATTTTTTTATTTTTTTACAGTAAAGTTCTTTGCAAGTGCTAGAAGGACTCAATAGTAATGGCTGTGCTGATTTCATTCATAGCACATGTTGGAAAATCAAGTGAGGTGAAAAAGTGACAAGGACACAGGCTTTCAAGACAAAGAGAGCTGGATT